CCCCCCCCCCCCCCCCCGCCCCCAGTGCTGGGCCATCTTGTGTGAGCAAAGCCTGTCTATCAGTACAGCCAGGAGTGGACACATCTAACTTCAGATTGTTCAAACAAACACCACACCAGTACAGTTCGTAGACTTTGTACATGCAAAGCATTTCTTGATAAGATAATGCAGTGGTTAACATCAGTGATAGCGCCAGCAAAACATAAACATTCAATGAAGTCTCATGGCCACAACGTCTTTGAAGAATTCTAAAACATTCAACAAAGAAATGGCACACTAAGGGTTCCCAATATTCCTTGTTCCCTTCCTTGCTCCAGACAAAAACATCCCATTTCCATTTTTTAAAATTTAATATTGAATACACCCCTCCCACTGAGAGAGGAAGGAAAGCCTCTGGGTGCCACTGCAAGCTACACCTCCTTTTCTAGGCCCAGGCTGTGCTCCCTTTATAAACTATAAATACCCTGAAAATGATTTAAACAGCTATAAGTTCCTTACCCCTTTAAGGTGGCTCCTAGGTTCATCTGATTCCAGGTCATGCATTCAAGCTGGGAGGTCATTTGGTATAAATTGTCACTGTGGAAAACATCCAGAGTTAGAAACACAGCCACATACACAAGGACAGAACTATTTCTTTAAACACTATGGAGTTTTCACTTATAGTGCATGCCTCCACATTTCCTAAAACGATGAATACGTGAATCTAAAAATGGTTTTCATTTCTTCTCAGTGATCTCTGCACTCACACACATATACATACACACAGCAGAAAGGATGAGAGTAACTCAGTTGTTTAAAGAAAAAAAAAGCCTTAGCAGAGTGAACTTCAGAGTTTCTAAAGCAATATTAAACCTTGGAGGGGAAGAGGCTAGAGGGAGTAAGGCTTTTTTTTTTTGGGCGGCGGGGGGGGGGGGGGAAAGTTTGGGTAACACATGCTGGATAGCTCAACATTAAAGTTAAAAGCCTGAAGCTGAGAGTAAAGTGACAGCGGATTAATTATTCGTGAAAAGGCCATTACGTTTGTTTAATCAAAAGGATAAGTATCATGTGGATTATGAGGGTCCGAAAGGTCAGGGTGATGGGTGATGAATGGGCTAATACCCAGGGATGTGATGAGCAAAAGGCAATACTCTCAGCACACGGCTAAGCAATTATTCTGTATGTATTTTATAAACCTAGTGAAAGTCAAGAGAAGTTTTAAGAAAAAAAAATTTTTTTAAACAGCCTATGATTTACATTAAGGCTCAAAGGGAAAATACACCTCCATGTAAACCAACCAAGAGCTGCTCTCTTTCCATTGTGTATCTCATTACTAACACATAAATCAATGAACGCTATAATGACCAAGCTCTATCAGGAAGACGTTTAGGGTAGAACCGAAAGGGTTAATTATGAAATCCGAGGCCCAAGAGATTAATGGTCTGCCTGGAAACCTTCAGTCTAAACGTATTAGAGAAGAAGAATTTCACCCTACCTTCACTGCAGAATGAACAGAGATAAGCATTCAGTACCTAATGTGTGATACCAGATCACAAATCCCAGACAACCTTCTGTCTTGCCCCGGTGTCCCTTTGCGTTGCTTCATCCAGCAGAGGCAATGGGAGTTTTTAATTCAGAAAGGGTTTTCTGGGTCAACTGAACTGAGAACTTGTGAAGAGGTGACAGAAATCACACTACTCTGAGTCACTGGAGACTGCTGTGTGCTCGCTAGCTCTCACCCATGTGACTCCTATAATGTCTCTGCAAATTATTTAGAACTCCTTAAGGCCAGTGCACCAGCTGAGGAGGAAGTTAGCTTCCAGGAGGAGAGTTTTGCATATGAAAAGTAGAGTGACTTCAAACTTCAAGTATGTGTAGCTTCATTAGTCAGTGTATATCTGGACCCCATCACTCATCCCTGTGTCTGACTGGCTATTATGCTACCACAATATCCTACATATCCATGGGAAGAAGAAAAAAAAAAAAAAAAAAAAGATTAGTTTCTTCTGGAGCTTCCTCGTTTGCAGAGGCAGCCCGTGCTGGTCGGTGCCACTGCATTTTGCAATTCCAAGAATTCTTTCTCTAAGGCTGATGTAATTAATTCCTGAAAGACCCCAACTTTTATTAGAAGTGCCAGCCTGCTGCATTTACCACAGCAGAATTTCTTGAACTTTCTTTGGGCTGACAGTTCATTAATAAGTGGCCTCCTCCACGATCCCTCTGCTGGTTTTTGTTCTCCTGTGCCTTTTCATCAAGCAATCCATTTATTAATCTTGCCATTAATCTCAGCCAAGGGGCATTGTATTCCCCAGGTAGCTCTATATTTTTGTCACTGATTTTTAAAAAATTGTTCACCAACTAAAATCACTCCGCTGCAGTTGACAATTTTCCTCGGCCCCATTGGGATGTGGGGTCTCTCTGGAATGACTTAATCCTTACATAAGACTCAGAATATTATCATATTATTATTATTATTATTATTATTATTGTTGTTGTTGTTGTTGTTGTTGTTGTTTTGTATTGTTTTGTCTTGTTTGGGACATGGTTCTCTATGTAACAGTCCCTGTTGTTCTGGAACTCACTTTGTAGACCAGGCTGGTCTCAAACTCAGAGATCCACCTGCCTCTGCCTCCTGAGTGCTGGGATTAAAGGTATGAGCTATCATGCCTGGCTATGGTCATTTGCAAGAAAGCTGGGAAATAAGGTGAGTGGCAGAAGTGGATGCATAAGGGTGAATGAATGAATCCCAAATTTCTAAATTTATATTTAGAGATTTTTCTAAGACTGATACACAGTCCTATGATTCCTAATTGCCTCAATACAAAATGATCTCAAAGATAAATACCTTTAAATGTATTTCTTTGATCTGCAGTAAGAATTTTCTCAAATACAGGGCATATACATGTGTGTCTTCCTATAGGATAGTAAATAACAAAAAAAACTCTGCATTGCATAGTCCAATATGGCAACCACTAGCCATGTGTGGCCATTGAACATCAGAAATAGAGCCTCATTGAGATAAAGTTTGGGTTATACTGGGTCAAATACAAATTTATGCAACAAGCTTCTTATTTTCTTATTTTAATGTGGTTGCTAGCACATTTCAAATATGTTTCTACTAGACAATAGTATTTATGAGTGGCACTTGGTATGTTCCTTTGGAAGCATTTGGCATCTGAGCCTAAGTCACTGTCACTTACACAATAATCATACTCTCACAATAATAAATAATCATAAAAATAAATAATAATAAAATTTTAAATAATACTACTAATTTTTAAAAGATATTTTTCTCCTTGTAATCTTTCTATATAGAGACCCTTAGGAATCAATGGGATTATGTTTTGATTCTATGAGAAAATCTGAGGAAATTTCCATTCAGCTCTCTGTACCTCAGATTTCACATGTGTCAAATGAGAAAATTAATTTTAGTCTCATTTTATAGGGATATTGTAAGGCTCGAAGAGATTGATGCTCACACTGACTCTCTGAAGATGGTATGGGGAATATACAGTTTCCTAACTGCCAAATTTTATCTGGCACATTTGCACATTCTCGGCATCACTCCCAACAACTTCATGAAATTATCATTCCCCTTTTCCAGACAAGGACTGGCACTCCAAGGGGTACCTGCTGCTACGATGTGTGATGGCCCTCTTCCCTGCTCCTTAAGATGCTCATGGGCATGATTCAACATCTGAACCTACAGTACCATGTATATAACAGTACAGGGAAGAATCTAAGGTGAAAGACCAGAGAAGGTGTTCATCCAAAGGAACATCAGGACCAGCAACTCCTGGAAGCTGCAGGGATACAGGGATGCAGGGATGTTGTGTCCTCTTCTACCCACTAAGGATAGTGCATCCACCCTGCCTGGTGACCAATCTCCTGACACTTTGTGCTCCAGTTATTCTGATATCTCAGCTATAAAGCTTCAGAAGAGGGAGGGTGAGGGCATGGAACAGGGGAGAAGGAATTGCAGAAGATCTCCAAGCTATTAGTAGGTTTCCTTAACCATACCCTGCCTTCTGCTGGATAAGGAAGGCTCCACAGTGGCTCAGTGTGCTGGCTGTATGGCACAGCTTTCCCTCCAAGGCCAGTGGAAGCAATGACAGTAACTGCTGCTGCAGAGGGCAGAATGTCAACTTGAGCTAAAAATACTGGCTCACACCATAGTCAGATTGTGATCTCTTTGGGCAATCGGTCAACACCCAGCTCTCATCATGGAAGCTTGGGGAAAGAGGCAGAATCACTCAGGGAATGCTGACCTCTGGCAAACGGAGCATTTACTTATTAAATGGCCATGGTCGGTGTCCACCACCTCACCCCCAGAAGGAATCAGATAAGCATGTGGTTTGGCTCAAGGCAGCCCCAGTGGTCACGTAGACATTTCAGCTCCAACCATTAAGCTCTGCCTGGTTGGAAGTGGATCCTGAAGCTACAGGCTGCCAAAATATATTCCCAATGTCATGATATCCTTTATATTTTTTAAGTAGGTTTTTTTTAAGTCACTTGTTTCCTATGTAAAAAAAAAAAATGTTTGAAGTCAGAGGCAAGGGAGAAAAGAAAGAACGTCTATAGCTGGGATTAATGCGAGTTGGAGTAAAATAAAAGGAAGTCAGTCCTAGCAAAAGGGGGAACTTAAAAGGAAATCAGTAGTAGATCGTATAGTTTGTTTTGGCCTGGATTGCAGAATTACTGTGTTCTTGACCTCTACACAAAAGAAAGGAAGGGGGGAAAAAAAGAAACCTCCGCTATTATCTAGACCAGAACTCCTCCACTCTTCAAATGCAGTGGACTCAAGCACGTTTCCATCTTTAAGTGTGTTTACTATATTCAACAGAAGGAAGAGTGGGTCCTCTCAGAATCCTCTAACCAGCCTGTTTGAGATCACAGATTCCTGGGCCACTGTCTGTGGCTGGGAAAAGAGAATCTCAGCACAGGTAAAGCTTCCCCAAGGATTAAAAGACAAAGAATTTTTGAAAAATACAGATTCCATCGATGGTAAGACTTTGAGATAAGGGCTTCTGAATAATGGACCAGCCCTGTACCAAGGGAGAGGTCTTTGTGGCATTGCTGCTTCCCTTAAGCAAGGTGCATTTGAAGAGACGACATGCAGACTTCCACAGAGACTTTTTTCCTGGACTGATTCTCCCTCCACTTCGGCGCCATGGAGGCTGACTGCTCTGAACTTTCTGCCCAGCAGGCTACAGTGAATAATTATTTCATAGTCGCTCTCTTGGTATTGTATTTGCTCTCAAGCTCACCGGCTAACCAAGGGAAAACCCACTAGGGATTCAATTTCTAATAATAAACACTTGGTCAGCACACAAGTTACAGGAATATTTGGAACTAGATTTTTCCCCCTCCTTGGAGACGGGTTCAATTCAAGCCTATGGCTTTGATAATATGGCCCACCACCCTGGAAACCACTTCGGACTTTCCATTTTAGCTTCTGTGGGAAACAAATATAAAAATATACTGTACGATGTACAAGGTTTCACAAGTGAAGACAGGCAAAATTAATGATAATTTTATTTTGAGTACAACTGTCACCTGATTTATGACTTAATTGAAGCCATGTCCATGTGGCAAGTCATGGATATCCCAAACAGTTTCCACAATTCCACAGAAACTCTATGGCTGCTAAGGTGGTTGATTGTCTGTGAAATTAACAGGTCATGGGCTCTACTGACCACATCGATACCTGAATCATCAACATTCATTAAAATATTTGAAGCATAAGCTTTTTAGGATTGGAGTAGTGCTACCTGCTAAACAGCAAACATAGGACAAAGTAAATCTTCTCATTTTAGTCAATAGCATGAATAACGAAATCCAAGTAAAGCTATGGGCTGGCTCAGCAGTTAGAAACTCTAGCCTCTCTTCCAGAAGACCAGAGAGTTCAAGTCCCAGCAGCCACATGGAGGTTCACAACCACCTGTAATTCTAGTCCCCAGGAATCTAACATTCCCTATTGGTCACTGAATATACATGGTACAGAGATCTACATGAAGACAAAACACCATCTACAGAAAACACATACATGCAATTTAAAAAAAAAAAGACATGTAAAGCTAATGTAAAGCTTCTGAAAAGCAGAAGGGTGGATAAAAAAACCTAGAATATGAAAAACATCAGAACAAATAGAAATATGTTTCAAACACAATACCCAGCACTTTTCAAAGTAGCTGTGAGACTAGGCTCACCCCATGCCCAGTAGGGAGTGGCAGCTCTGGGGAGGGGGGGCACTTAGCAAGCAGAAGAGCCAAACATTGAAGCTTGAAAACATTTTTTCCTCACTCTGGGAGATGATGTAGTCCTCTCTTTGCTGAGACCTTGCTTCTGGGCAAGCACAAACCAGTAGAGGCCCGGAAGCAGTCTTCCTAGGGCAGCCCAGATGAGAAGACAGATTTATACGCTAGAAGTCTGGAGGAGGCATCTACTGCACTGAGTTTCATCCCAGTGCTACATGCCCATGGTAAAGATGAAGCTGAAGGAGTCTGGAGAATGCTGCTTTTGACAGTACCCAAGGGGAAACACTGCCCATAACAGTCTATGGTAGCTCTGAGTAAAATGAACTTCCACCACTATGGGAAATAAAGTGCTCCCTCCAACAAGAATGATGACACATGCCATCTTCAGAGAGTGGCACTTCGCAGGATACAAAGTAGAAGAATGGATTGTATCCTCACTATTTGAATTTAAGTCCAAATTATATTTCTTACCATGTCTCACTGGGGCTGGGGGAGAATCACCTCTCAGGGTCTCAATTTCTTCCTTTGTAAAATGGAGGTGATAACCCAGTGTCCATCTCAAAAACCAGTGGTGTGGATGAAAGCGGTACCCATGAGGTACTTTACAATGGCACCTGACACTTTACAGTAAAGGGGCCATATACTTGAAGGTCTATGCAAGCATTTGCACTTACTGCTTATCAATTAAAGATCCTGGCAGAGAAAGGGGCATAATCCAAGCAAATGGTCCAGAATCATCACTCACTTTCAGAGTACAAATGTACTTTGAACTCTCACTTACTGTGTGATCTTCATCAAGATGCCTCAAGTCTCTAAACTTACATCCTCATGAGTAAAATGGAAATTATAGCATCTACTTCCCAGGTAGTAAGATTAATGGGTGAGCTGGGCATACTAATGGAAAGAGAAGAGAATGGTGCAAGAGACAAAGAGATGAAATTTTGAGACTTTCTTCAAAGCAGACTCACATTAGTACTCAGCTTATTTAATGTCATGGGTGTACCATTTTCTCTATCTCAAACAAGAGAAGGAAACTAGATCCCAAGCCTGGGAGGGGAGATTTACATAGGGACAGAAGAGGGGGCTGAGTAGTCTGTTTCAGGGTACCAAATGCAGCAAGGCAGACAAAATAGAAAGAAGCAAGCCTTACTTTCCCAGTTGTTCCCAACTTTAGAAGGGAAAAGGTTCCAAGCCAAGGGCCAGTAAGTAGCCACACCACTAACCATCTAAAATTCAGAAGCTAAGCCATTTAGCAATTAAAGTTTGCTCCTATTTTCTGTGCTACTTAAACACTGCGTTCACACAAGTTTTAAACACCCTACAAATGTTTTTCCAAAACAGAAAGAAGTATGCAACTTCAGTATACTTGCCTACTCATCGTTCCTGTGGGAAAGCTATGTGACTTTGGGAAGGGCTTATCAACGCTGTGAATTTAAGGTAAGAGAAGCTCTAAAGACTCTCATGGATACTTCAAGGGACCAAGCTCTTTTCCTACAAGGATCGAAACTGTCTTTGCTGTTTCTACTTAGGAAATTTCTGTAGTGGGAGAAAGTGCTGTTTTTATGAGATCAGTGTAAAAATGAGATAAAAATATCATAGACGGTCTTAGAAAGAATGAAGGGACAAGCAAATATTTATGCAAGGTGAATCTGACAAAATTACTTTCAACAATGGCCAGTCAGAAGCTGGGCTAGAAAATATGTTTTGTATATAGGGTACTATAGTTCAGTGGTAGAGTAGATGCTTGGTGTGCAAGAGGCCCCAGTGACAAAAACTGTAACAGTTGGAATGACTTTTCCCTTCTTGATAGTAACCACAGATTCATCCCCAAGTCAAAATCCACCACAGTCAAAAATCCATAACAAAAATCCAAACTTCGTTTGGAAAAACGATACTAAATCATAGATTGCAATCATTTTCTGACGGACATGCTGCCTGGAGCCCCTCAGTATAGGCCGAGGTTTAGCAGAAAGAGGAATGAAGGATGTGTCTGTAGTAACAGAGAGAGAGAGAGACAGAGAGACAGAAAGAAAGAGCTACATCTTGCCAGTCCCCAGCCCCCAAGAAGGTTCAGGCCCCATCTCAACAAAGTTCACTCCTACACCTACACCAAGCTCTTTTTCCTGACTGAAGGACCAAGGTCTTCACATCGGGAAATGTTCCAGGGGCCTCCCTTATAGTTACTGGAACAACAGCGATGACACTCTAGCAGAGGACAGGAAGGATGTCTGTGGACTGTTGCCCCCCCCCCCCCCCAGTACCCATAAGGGAAGAGGCTTTCAGCAGGCAGTGCATGCAAATCTTGAGTACTGGTGATTTGCCCCGACTGGGATTGTGGCCTCCAGTGTCAGACTGGCTCTGCAGTGCCAGCCCAGGACTGCTTTCTAGCTAGGGAGGCAGAAAAGGATGCACCTTGGGCATACATTTTTCTGCCTCCTGCCATAAGAAAAGGGATGCAAATCCAAGATCCGGTTAGATATGATGGGTTTTTCACCCCAAATAGAAAGGTTTCCAAAGTCTGAGCCAGAAGGCAAAAATAGAAGAGCGAGCCCAGGCAGGGTGCCTCGACACCCGAATGGGAGAGTCAGACCAGCCCAGAGTCAATTTCATGAAAGCACCTGGACCCCAGGATGCACTGCTGCACTGCAGGCTTCAGAGTCTAGAGCAAGGACGTGCCCCTCCTCCACCTGAGGGACTGGAGGTCCCCAGGCGCGGCCATTCCCCCACCCAATCTCCCAAGACAGAAGCTTTTCCTTCCTTCATTACCTCACTACCTCCTTCCCTTGACGTCAGCCTCCCAGAGCCGAGGGGCGGGAGGATGGGGATGGGTTTGGGGCAGTCGGTGTCAGGATCCCCGCAGTACGGGGTGGGGGGGGGGGCGGGGAGGTAATGTGCACCCAATCTTGTGCAGCCCAGACCGGCGCACAGCCACCTTCCAGCGGACCGGTGTGTGTGCATCACAGTTACTAAGCAACCCTATCTGAGACGCGGGATGCCGGCCAAGTTCACCCAAAGTTGAAGAATAAATTTGGGGGAGAAAGGGTGGAGAGTGGAACTAGAGACCAGAGAAGGGGGAGGGAACAGAGCTTCGGTGAGGGAAAAAAAAAAAAAAAAAAAAAAAAGGCTGACTTTCCTTCTCCGGAAGTAAGAAGGGATGTCTCCCAGCTCACCTTCTCGAGCAAAGGGTCTCACCCCAGAACGCACACAGGGCTACTACAAACCAAGTCCACAGAACACTGCCACAGCCAAAAACAAAAACAAAAAACAAAAAACAAAAAGACCACTAGACGGTTAAGGGTGAGAGGAAGGATGTGACCAACACTAGACGCTGTCTAAGTAGTTTGGCCTGTGTGGCCAGTTGGCACAGAAGGCTCCCACAAAAAGATGGAGTGGGAGTGGACTTGGTCCTTAATTTTTGGTCCTGGGGAAGTCAAAAGGCTCCCAGCAAAGACCATTGAGAAATAAATCGTGACCGGGCATGGTGGTGCACGTCTTTAATCTCAGCACTGAGGGGCAGAGAAAGAGAGAGAGAGGAGGAAGAGGAGGAGGAGGAGGAGGAGGGGGAGGCGGATCCCTGAGTTCTAAGCCAGCAGCCTGGTCTACAGAGCAAGTAACAGGACAACTAGGGATGCACAGAAAAACTCTGTCTCTCGAAAAACCAAAGAAATAACCCGTGAAGGATGCAGCTTCCTTTTTATCGCCAAACATAACGGTTTCATTTACATACAAAGCAAATTTATATCCAAGACACCTGCTTTAATTTGAGTGTCTGGGCAGGGTACAGGCTTTTCTTTGCCTCCAAGACCTTCCTGGTGTCAGACATGGCCAGGGTCTGGCTTCCCTCTCTGGCCCGCTCACCTGCACCTCCAGGGTCACCATAATACAGTCGTGGTGCTCCGCACCTTCTTACCTGCTGTAGGGCGTCCTCAGCAGCAGGGCCTGGCTGCCGGTGCAGCTGTCCGAAGGGGTGTGGCAGCCATACACCGGGGGCGGCACCGAATATTGCTGCTCGCCTGCCAGAGAGCCAAGGGTGGTAGTGAGCGGGACTCAAGAGTGTGAGGCACAGGCAGGGGTTCTGGTGCGAGGGAGAGCGTGCTGAGCTTCGGACAGTATGGCCAGCCATGTGACAAAAAGGCCGCTCTCAATCCAAGGGAACGAAAACTTCCTCACTTCAGGTTGCATTGCCATCACTCTCTGGCATTGGTTGCCTTGTCTGAGTGGCGCTTTTTTGTTTCTTACTTAGAATGGACAGAGCTGTGATCTTTCAAACAGAGGAAAGCCAGCTATTATTTCTAGATCCCTTTAGATGTACTCTATCCCCTTTCCCAATTTGGTAAGGCTTAGATCCGCGCAGGAAGCGGTGCAATACGTGGAGGCAGTGGGTAAAGACCCGCATCTTTTCCATCCACTTACCCAGAGAGCCCTGCTGGCTCATGGGGTCCTCGTGTTTGAAGGAGTGGTTGGGAAACTGCGCTGCATGGTGCGAGGGCGTGTGGCCGTAGCTGGGTGCCCCTTCGAAAGTGACCGTGCTGTATCCTGAGGAACCGACAGAAAGAAGCACAGAGTCAGTTAGGCTCGGGGAAAAAGCAGGAGCATTGGCGCGACTAGAACTCGGGTGATAATCGGGTACCTGACTTTGGACCCTCCGACTAGAACCTCATTCAGGCTTAAAGCAGGCATGACCTCATCCATACTTTTTCCCAACTAAAATCCCAAGCTCCTTCTGTTCCCCAATTCTTCTATGTTTCAGTCTTCCATTGCTGAATAGAGCCTCCCCAAGTTAGGTGTAAAAACCGTCGCCCGCCTGGCGGAGACTGTCTTTCTTAAAAACAAACAACACCGAGGTTCTCGCGCAAGGGCGGCTCGGCCCAGAGGACTGAGTTTCCTCCGCTGACCCCGCTTTGACTCAGGGCTGTAAATCAGGGGCCGTGCACCAACTTCCATTAATTACTGGGGCCAGTTCAGCGGTCTGCGCTTTAAAAGCAGAGAGAACTATCAGGGCACATTACCTCTCTGGGCTGCACAGCCTGACACCAAGACACCTAAAGCCTTTAGGAAGGTTTGTGTGGCTGGAAAAGGAGGACCCTCGCAGCTGGGTCGAGTCCTTCTTCCCCTCCCACGCCTACCCGGGGCTCAGAGGGCCCAATTTTGACCACTGCTGTAATGACTAACCTTTCAGTGTGCGGGACACTGACCTTAACTGTCCCTGGGTAGCAGTGTCTCAGTTCCTTGCCTCAGTTTCCCTTCTGAGAAACAGAAACTGGTGCTCTTTCCTATCACCCAAATGGATGAAAAGCAATGTCGAGTCTTGGAAATCTCATTCTTGAATTGATATTGTTATTAAATTTCTATAAATACATATCCCACCTGCTTTGCCAAAGCTCAAGTTGGTGCAAGAGATGGCATCCTAAGAATCCTCCTAGGGACTTTATGAGGGTGGGGCCTCCTCTTCCTGTGGTGAAGTTAGGAAGAGGGAACCCAGACTGGCAGGATAGAATGCAAATGAGGCTGGACCCTGAGAATGGCCCCTTCAGGGCAATCACTAGAGCCCCAATGGCTTCCTACTGCGCAGCCTCTAAAGCCAAAAAAAAAAACAAAAACAAAACAAAAACCTCTAGAAATTAAGGTAAAACAAAGTCCCCACTCTTGCACCAGTTGATCAAGGTTCTTCAATAAGGGATGGCCGAGATCATTCATTCTGTATAGAGACAGGAGGCCAGTTATCTCCAACGTCAAAATTATAGAGGGCGACACCCACTGCCCAAACTATCCGGGTCACTCCGGAGCAGTAAATGTACACGGCCAGATTGACGTGTTTCACAGTGAAGGGATAGGAATTACCGAGTTATGTCCCTCGAAGACAAGTGCCCCGGGAGCTCTGGTTAGTGAATGGGGGAATCAGTCAGCTTTTCAACCTGAGTGAGCCCAGAGTGCCTCATTTTTCTTCCTGTGAAGTGGAGAAAGATAATCTCCAACCCTAATAGCTCTTGGGTGTGGATCAATAAGCACATCTGGCCTTCCAGGGACTTCCTTTTCAGAGAAAAGCCCTGGTCCTACTTGAGGCCTACAGCTTACAAACGAAATTTGGATCTAGGCACCCACCCGAGTTTTCCCATCAGAAATGAGGAGTTTGTGAAAGAGCACTTAAACAAAAAAGGGGGGACGCGGGGGAGGAAGTAGAGGCAATAAAGAAAGTTTCTCTAAACGAACCCTTCTCCATTTCTGAGCCGAGCAGCCAAAGACCTAAGGCACGCACAGTCTGAGACCCGCTGCTCAACCGCAGGTGGCAAGAGCTGCTGGTGCCAGGCTGCAGCTCCCACGCTGGGGACCTCCACTCGGCGCTCTGGAACTCCGGCTTGAGGATGCGGGAGTCCGACAAGGCTCCCTACCCACCTAGTCGGTGGTGAGACGACGACCTCGGCAGGCAACCTCGAGCCCCTCCCTTGGGGCTCCTGGGAGGGGCAACAGTGAAAGCCGCGGGATCCGAGGGAGAGCTCTTTTAATTAGAAGCTTATCAGAATCAGTGCTGATTAGGAACCCGCTGTACCGGGACTGAGCTGAGCCCATCTCGAAGAGGGTGGGAGTGAGAGTCGGGGGAGAGACTGCTGACTCTGCGAAGTATCAAAAGTGTTCAAAAGCTTCTTGTCCAGGCCTTGCAGGGAGAGACCCTCGAGGCCAAGGTAGCCACTTTCCCACGATTGGTCTGGACCAGGGAGGGGACAGCAACCTTGACCTTGCGGGAAGGAGCACAGCGCCCTGAGCACTCCTCCCCTGCCTCCACTGTGGAGGAGCCCGGAACAGGCTGCCCCAGCCTGGTCCTGTGGAGCTGATGAGGAGATCCTACAACAGCTAAGCCTGGGAGGTGTTCCGGAAAACCTTGCTGCCATGAGATAGGTGGAGTCCTCACTCCCACCCAACTACTGTCTTTGATGTAACCCGAGGGGGGCGCCTTTGGCCCCATCACAGCTGGTCTTCCTCTCGTGACTAGCTTCGGAAGGGCTGATCCCCGGGCTCTAAGCTCACGCTGATGTGAGCACTAGCTACTAGCTAGTGCTGGGAATGGGTGTGGGGTGTCAAGGCCACATTGGGGCCAGACTAGGAAAATCCTCACCCTCACTTCTGGGTCCTGACAAACTTTCCAACCATCTCACACTCACAAGTTGTCAGGGCCTATTCAACCGCGCAGAGAAAATCCACCTCAATCACACAGTCAAAATTTCTGGGGTGGGGGGGGTGGAACAGAAGAAAAATATGGGTTCAAGTCCTAGCTCTGCCAAAACCTAAGAGGCCTCTTGAAGTCTAATCCCCTAGTGCCTAGACTTCAGTCCCTAGTATTAAGAGGCTCACTCCTTCTATCTCGGGCTATGTGCTTCTTGTAAAGGTTCCTATAGCCATTAACTGTCTTAATAGAGAATCTACACCCCCTCCCCACCAAGTAATGTTTTGGTGTTTGCTAAATTTATGTTTAGACAATTAGGGTGGCAGCTATATAAGAAATATATATAAGAATATATATATATATACATATATATATATGCATGATGGTGGCCATTCTCACACTTTCCAGGGACAGCTGGCATCTCCCAATCAAAACCCCAAACTAAATCCTGAATTATTGAACTGACCTACAGGAACTCCAGAAGTAAAAGGAATGGATATTCAAAGGATTTGGGAGCTCAAGAGTCTGCCCTAGTTGCTACCTGGAGTTGGTGGGGGGGGGGCAGCAGCTTCACCATTCCCAGACTGTACCTGTACAACCCACTTGCTTTAACTAGGAGAGAAAAGGGTAAGTTCCCTGACAGGAACCTGCTTCCATGGTATGACCCTACCCTGAAGACACCTCCCCACCGGCCTTTTCCTTTGTGGCATGAGAAGAGCAGAGCGTGGTGGGAAGGTGTCACAGGTTGGTCCTGGTCCTCAGCTCCTCGGGAAGCTCTTTCTTCAGTAGCAGTCCTACCTGTCTACTCCAGAAGAATCTGGAATACGCCCCCCCCCGCCCCGCAAGTGTAATGGTAATGTCCTCGGGCTTTAAATTCTCAGTCCCACCCACCTTCTCCTACCGGCTTCTACCAGACTTGCAGTGCAGAATGCTAAGCATGCCCCCCCCCATGCTAAGCACACACACACACACACAATAACAAAGCCCCTGTGAGCCTAGAAGGACTCAAAAGGATGGTCGTATATTAGTATTTGCTTCCCTGAGGGTTATAGGTCAGTGAGTCTCTCCAAAAAACAGGCATGCTCACTGAAGTCATACACATGCCTGACAGTGGCGTGGTTTCTGACCCAGGGAGGTTTAGGTGAGCTGTATGTTCTGTATTTAGAGACTGGTCAGGTTTCTCGTGTTTGGCCTGTAACTTCGGCCTAACCCATCTCAGCTCTCCTCTTATGAGATCAGCAAACTGACCCGGAGGTTTGCCAGCAGTAACACCTGCCTACTAGAAAGTGATGGCGCGGTCCAAGAACCTCTGCAAAGGCAGCAAGTTCTTCCAACATCTCTTGTACAAAACACTAATTTATGAGAGACCTAGAGGGGAGGGATACTCTGAGTCCTCTCCAGGTTGCTCCTTGAGACCAGCAGCTCCCATTCTTCAGTGGTTTCGGTTTCACTAGAGCGTCGGGTGGTCGAGGGGCTGCTGGATGGGTTCAGAAGGCCCCAGAACGCTTCCTCACCTCCCGCAGCAAACAGTACCGGCCCGGCGTCCCCCTTCCCACACATTTCAGAAACACCCAGACCAAGGACAGCAGAATTTTTGATTCAAGAAAAGCATCGCCTTTGTGTTAGTAAGTATTTTCCCAAAACATCGAATCAAACCAAATTAGATTCTCAACAGCAAAGAAATCAAATGAGAACAAAAGAAGAAAACTACAGTGGCTCAGCAACCATGGTTCTGCCAGGGTGCCAACGACGGATAGGTGTATGGAGGGGGACTGAGAGAGTTAGAAAATATACTTATTTCATACAAGGTCCCTTGTACATTGGCTGAAGATCCCCAATACACTTGTTCTTGTTCCAACATCCACACCTTACGAACCTTTCCCCAGCCTAACCTCCGGGTGACTAGGAAGCATCCGAGGAGCGCTGAAAGAAGGTCACTTTTCCCAGACTCCCTCCACGGATTTGGTTTCTTATGGAAGCCAGGCTGTCTTCCATTCCCGCCGCCTGCGCCTGCGTAGCCTGCGACTTTGCGTGGCCTGGAGCGATCCCCACAGTACTACCTTTTCCACAAACTATGCTCAAACCCCTACACGGTCCCCTAAGTGTCAAGCCCGCATTCTGAAGCTCCCTTCTGCTTCTGGTGGGCCTGAAGTAAGCCAGCTCCTGGGGAGAGCTAGAGGTTCTTGGGGTTTGGTTCTGTCAGAGGCATTACAGGGGGTCCCTAAATGCTGACCCGACTCCTGAGTCCTCTAAGTCCTTCTACCCTTGAAATCTAACAGGGCCGAAGCCTGGTGGGGCATCAGACATTTCCCCAATATAGAGCCACCCGCTACAACCAATGCCCCCTTCTACTTCCCGTGGAGTCCCAGAGTCTCTCAGGGATCCTGGGACCCCAAATGTCCTCCCGGGTCCTGCGAACTATCGGACTCTGGGGTCTTGTTCAGCTGTGGTGTGTGTGTGTGTGTGTGTGTGTGTGTGTGTGTGTGTGTGTGTGTGTGTGT